CTGCCTAGAAAACAATAGTTTGCAGTTCATTTGCCTTTAAAATCAATCACTAAAATAAAAATGACAGTTATGGTCAGAAGTGAGGGTCAGAAGTGTTTAAAACTGTTGTTTATGGTGAAAGACGAGGCTTGTCCCCAGGACTGGAAATAATAATTACCTAGAAGAGGCAGATGGAAGAAACTCCTTTCTTTTCCGTGGTGAGAACTAATTCTACACTGCAGTTTCAAAATTATATTTGCAAGAAATGCAGGCTAAGGGGGTGGCAGTTTGATGTCATTATCCAGGGGGGGAATGTTTGCAGGAGAGTTAACCTTGCACACTTCTCATTTCAGATGTTTTAATTTACTGTGCAATATATGCATAGATAAATAAAGCAGTGATGGGCTTTCAGCCCCACCGGACACTCAGGTCCCCTTAAATTATGCTCAACCTCTTCAAAACATATATTTAAACAATAGAAATAAACTTCGTCGGACTCTGGCGACCAATTTGGAAGCCATTGGAAGGGAAGACAATAAGTCCTGATTACACTCGAGGATTCTCTGTGATGTGATATCCCCTTTGCCAAGTCATTTTGCTGTTTTATTTATTTAATTTTTTTAACAAACTTTCATTCATTTATGGTCTTCCGCAACCTGCTAATTTAACACTGGAGCGCGTTATTGCAGTGTTAGGAGGAGAGAAAGAGGGAGAGAAAACAACAATACTGCAATGATCCAAATGATACAGTAGAATTATAGCAATTATAGTTCTACTTGTGGAAGAAAACCTTGCTGAGATCAGGCAAACAAACTGAAGCCTTGTGAGGATAACAAGCGTCGGGATTGACAGCCGGTGCTGGGGTGCTGGGAAGAGCCGGAGGGCATAAACAGAAATATTTGCCTCCCCCCCGCCCCCCCTTAACTCCAACCAGTTAAGGTTAACCTCCTCAAATGCTGCCTTCAGAGTCTTCTCCATTTCAGGGTATGCATTTTATATACAAATCGAGGTCTCTCCTTCTGGAAGTCTGGTAATAGGCGGAAAATACAACATAATCCGCTTGCCTAGCTCTTGGTCCTCGCCTTCTCTGCCCCCTGTTTGCCCTCCACTCCCTACCCCTGCCTCAGTTCTCCCCAAGGCTGCTGGGATCTGTCTGTGGACGGTGTTTGTTTGTTGATGTGTTTTCAAAGAATCAGCCTGCGGAAAGGTCCAAAGGCACTGGTAACTTGGATTTCCAAGGAAGACTCCTTGGTGTTTGCTGATCCCCCCCCCCCCCACCTTCTACGCGCCCTGTCGTCCGCCTGAACCCTGGGTTCCACCAACAGGGCTCAGCTGTGAGAGGTTTGTGGGGAAGCAGTGCTTTTGGAAGCGCCCCGAAAACCATGGCCAAGCTCTAAGGTACCGACGTGTGGGTGTTATCACTGCGTTAAGACAGCTCCCCTTATTTGCAAACCTCGCCACTTTTGGTTACCCATCGGCAGGCAAGGATGGGGGTGGGGAGGGAGAACTAGAGAGAAAACAGACCCACCCCCATCCCAATCATCCACCCAGGCGGCCAACCGAGGCATTTTTCAGCCTTGCTCTAAGCACAAAGCCAGGCGAGATGGTCGCAGGCTCACATCTGCCCTCGGAAGGCGGGGGTGGCTGGGGGTGAGCAGAGGAGCGGGAGGTCCCCCCCTTCCCACCGGCGAGAAGCAAGCGGTGGGGCTCTCACCCTGAGTCCCTCGGCGGGAGCCCCTCCCATCTCCTGCCGCACCATTCCCCAGGTTTCCAGACCAGAGAGGGAAACTTCTCGGCGCCCTGTAATCATCACCATCAGGTTTCTCCTCTCCAATGCCGCCGGACTGCGGGACCCTGAGTGCGTCCAGGGTCGAGGCGTCCCGGGTGCAGCCAGCGTTACTCTGTAGCTGTTCCTGGCGTCCCCGGACGTGGGGGGCGGGTGAGCGGAGGGCATGGGTGGGAGTTCACGTAAAGGAGCAGCGAGGGACCCAATGCCGGCGTCAGTCCGGAGGCCCAGCCGACCCCGGCAGTCGGCGTACTCTCAGGGGAGCCCCCCTGTCGGGCTCGGCTCGGCTCGGCGCCACGGCCAGAGCGCGCCCCCTAGCGGGGTCTCCGGGTGGGCCGGGCCCTTCAGCCGCAGCCTCTGGGCACTGAAGTTGGCAGATCCTAGTGATACGGCAGGAATGAATGGGGGAAGAAAACAAAAGCCTTGGAAACATTTCCAAGTGTGCAATAAAAGACCCATCTGTACCTTTCTTCTCCAGCGCGTTCGTGGTTAATGTCCCCCCATGCGCGCGAGAGGGGAGATGATTGCTGGGTGGATTCTTGCTGGCGAACCTCAGGAAACACTGGCCCCGAGAAGTGGAATGATTGGGGGTGGGGGGAAGGCAAGCATGCGGAGGCTGCAACACCAGCCTGAGATCTGAATCTGCCCGCTGGGGTGTTCATGGGGTCTTGGCCGCCTGTGCCCTCAGGTTCCTCAGTCCCTGGTAAGGGGTCATCCGAAGGTAGCTACTCTAATATTTCTGTAACGCCACATTCTGGCTCTGCGACCCCCTCCCACCTTCTGACTCTAGGATACTCCACCTTCGGATTACAGGATTCTCCAGTTTTTGCCTCAGTGATTATCACCCTCCCTTCTGTCTTCATGATTCCTCCACCTTCTGACTCGGTCCCACACCTGTGACTTGACGGCCCCCTATTTTCTGACTCTCAGGGAATCTGACCACCGCCCTGCTCCCCTTCCCCAGGCACCACTTCCCTCCGGCAGCATCTGCATCGGGAGATCCTCAGCCCCAGATTCCACCACTCTCCACTACTCCCAAATCACCTACTCCCACTTGGTCTGGCCAGAAATGCAGAAAAGAGAAATGCAGGGTTCATGTCCATCCCCTTTGGATCAATCTGAAAACGTTGAGTTTTCTTGAAGCTCTTAGAACCTCTGGTGAAAAGTTACTAATGAAGACTTTACAAAGATGAAAAATTATTCGAATCAATCCATAACTTGGTATTTCTTTTGCACTAGTGTGTTAAACCTCACCCATCAATCAGAAAAACACAAATCGAGCTTCTCAAGATGTGGAGTGTCTACATACATACGTCCTCAGCCCTGCAGGATTTTAAAGTCATGCTAAGGCCACCAAAACATTTAATGGGTAAGGCCTAGAAAGGAGGGTCCAAAAATAGGAGTGATAACGGCTCTTTACAGTCTCTTTTTTTTTTTTTGGCGTTGTGTCTCGCTAATTGGGAAGTTCAACACCAGGTTTTCCCTGCCTAGAAAAGGCTGGTATTTCGTTCGGAGTGGGGGGAGCAGATGGAAGGGGTCCTATGGGAAGGGAGGCGTGGGTGTCCCCGTGTTTAATTAAGAGTTGCATTGTGTTGAAGGGAGGAGGGAAGATGCCAAGGCCGAGCAGCGTTCTGTTCCCTTCGTCACAAAATAACCTGCAAGAAAGAAAGAAAGAAAGAAGGAAAGAAAAAGAAAGGAAGAAAAGCCCGCGAGTAAGACAGAGTCGGCTCTCTGCAATAGATACCATTAGAACCACACTGCCTCTGGAATAAAGCTATCTAATTTCCTGCCGCAAATCACTTACCCGATCAGAAAACACAAATAGCTGAACAGAAGGGGGAAAAAAAATAGAGGAGGAGGACGAGGACGAGGAAGAAAGGCCCCCGGAATAAAAATAACTGCGCAAAAGGGCTTGCATTCCACGCGTTGACAGGCGTCTCCTCCAAATCTGGGGCAGTCGCGTCCTCCCCCAACGGTCCCCCTTCTGCCCCCGGACTTGCCAGCCCACCCGGGATCCGTTTCGGGGACACTCAGCATCTTTGGGGGGAAAAGGGCGGCTCCCCAGCGCGAGGAGGGCGATGGTGGGGCAGAGAACTGGGACCCTCCCGGCCTAGGGGCCTCTAGGGGCGGCGGAGGCCGAGTTCACCGGCCGGGACTTTGCGTTCAGGCGCCCTCCGGCACCGCTCGGCCCGGGAGGTCTCGGTTTCCCCGTCGGGAAGGAGGCGCCCCCACGTCGTGTCGCCTCCGGGCTCTCGGGGACCGGGGGAGCTGAGCCCCATGGCTCTGACAATTGACGGGGGAGGGGGGGGGGGGGGGGGGGCCGGGGCCCGGGGGGGGAGGGGCGCCCCCGGGGGGGCGGGGGGGGGGGGTGGCCTGCGGGGAGAGGCGCCGGGACCTCGGGTCCCCGACACCGCCCGGCCCTCGAAAACGTCAGCGGTGGTGGATGCGAGCGGAGAGTCGGGGCAGGAAATGGGGGACAGGAGCAAAACAATCTGCCCAGAAGCAAATGCACACCGAAAGGGAGCCTTGGCAGTTTTTCTTTGGGGATCCAATGAGCTGATCTCAGATTTTTTTTTGAGTGGGAAATCGCAGATTTCTCACAATCGCCTGAAATGTTGTGTTGCATGCCTCTGAACATCACATTCTTCCCTCTGAACATCACATTCTTTCCCGCACTTTAGACCTTGCGGTCTTAGCACATTTTCTGGCACCCGGGAGCAGCTTAGTATAGCCTTTCTGTCCCGAGAACTGCATGATGGCTGTGGGCGGATACAGGATATTTGATTTGAGCAAATGGCAATTGATTTTTCATTCTCGTGAGGGTGGGGGCTGATTGATCTCACCTCCCTCCCCCCTCTCCCCTCCCTTTTTTTTTTTTTTTTTTTTTTTAATCTGGGCCTCATTTTCTTTCCTCAATTCCCCTGTTACTGCTATTGCGGCCATTTCATTGTTTATGATTCGCCCAACTTAACGCTCGCAAAAGACGAAGAAGAAATTAAAACCAATGTATTCTGCTCAGAGAATCCCAAAAAGGCTGCAAAGATTGAAACCCACAGTTCAAGTGAATTTGAGACCTAGGAGTGATTTGTACTTATTTCTTTTCATGGATAATAGAGAGTTGGTGTTATCTGTCACTGTATGTTCTCTCTAATAGCTCCAAGACTATAATCTAACAGGTGTAAAATTTCCCTTTTGTGAGAAGGGAAGAGACCACCAACACTATCTTTTAAATAGTACAAATAGAAAATGCAGTTGTAGACAGTCTTCCACCCAGGAGAATCAATTCCCAGCCCAACTTGCTTTCTCTCTTTCTTTCCTATCCAGGCCTGGTTTGGGGAGTAGGGTGGTGTGTACCCCACACAGAGGGTTGTAAACAAAGAATGACTGATTGGAATTCTAGGGCCCCAGGCAAAAATATCCAGAAAGGGCTTTCCAACTTTCTGCCAACTGCAAAAGGGACCGCTCATCAAAGAAAATGCCTGTCGTTTCTTTCACCCACTTCCCTTTATCTCCTCCAAAAATATGGCCCACTTAGGTATTAGGCATCACAGGATGGGGAGGGAAGAGGCCGAGACTTGCTCCAGGACTCTTCTTTCCCCGCGAGGGCCTCTCTGCAGCGGGCGTCTGGCGAGCGCCTGTTTTCCTCCGGGATGGGCCTCGTTCGCAGAGGCTCATGGGCATCCTTCGTTCTCAGGCACCCCTTCTACAAGTTCCCCTACCTTCCAAGCACCCCATCAACCAGGCCTGGCTCCCCCAGCGTAGAACGCAAAAGGATCTCAGCCAGAATGTTTTGTGGAAGATGGGAGGGAAACTGGCCCAGGAGACGGCTGCCCCTTGATCTCCTCGTGGACCAGCTCCCGCCTGCTTCTGCTAACCCTCCTCATATCTTCATCAGCTTTGGGGCGGGAGCATTTTGATGTTATTTATGTAAAAGAAACGACATCAGAGTAACCTTTTTAATGCACTACACTAAAGGGAGATTGAACTATAACTTTGAAAAGTGTGACATTCCAATGAGAGCTATATTAAATTGCTTAAAAACATTTTGAAGGCATCATTGGTCTTGTCTGTAGTGGTAAGTGAAACAAAGGATTTCACAGCATGTCGGGTTTAATACTAACTATGCTCATAGTTAAGACTTTCAGCTATTAAACAGAAGAGAGGAGAAAGGCAGATGGTGACACAGTAAATGAGGGGGGTAGAATAGAGAAGGCGGAAGGCACCTTGGAGAGGACAATCCTGAATATTGACTGTGTGTGTCAGCCATCATCCTAAGTGCTTTTCACATGGACTGACTGTTTTCCTGGCAACCCGATGAGGAAGGTTCTGTGGTAATCCCTCTTTTACAGATGAGGAAACTGAGGCATGGAACGTGTGACCTGATGGTCCCGGTTTTCCGGAGGTTTGCCTGGTTTTCACACAGAAAGTCCTATGTCCTAGCCAGTCCCTCAATCCTGGACAAACTGGGGTGGTCGACCACCCTAGGCACGGGAAGGATTAGTTTGCCCAGAGACACAGAACTGGAGCGAGGATGTGAACCCAGGCGATCTGACGCAAGTCAGCAGCCCTTCCCTCTGTAAATCTTGTCCATTTTGCAGATGAGTAACTTGAGGGTCGGAGAGAAATTAACTGACTTGTCCACAGTCACAGCTAGCTAGTGACAGGCGGGATGCTACAGTTTGGGACTTGGGAATCCACCCCCTTTCTACTTCTATAAAAAAGAGTTTTTGTGGGGGTGCCTGGGTGGCTCCGTCAAGAGTCTGACTTCGGCTCAGGTCACGATCTCGCGGTTCGGGAGTTGGAGCCTCGCGTGGGCTCTGTGCTGACAGCTCAGAGCCTGGAGCCTGCTTTGGATTCTGCGTCTCCCTCTCTCTCTCCCCCTCCCCTACTTGTGCTCTCTCTCTCTCTCTCTCTCTCTCTCTCTCTCTCTCACATAAATAAACATTAAAAACATTAAAAAAAAAAACGAGTTCTTGTGGAAAACAAGGTGACTTTTTAACAATCTTGAAGATAAAATTAAGGGGGCAAAAAGAGATAATATCCAAGATAAAGATGTATACCATATTCAGACACGCATATCATCACTACCTGGAAGTAAGAGAACATGGAGAAAAAGGAGGTCACCTATATTGTAAACACAATTTATAATGAAAGACAATTTAAAAATTGCAATAACCAAAGAAAATAATTATATGGAACATGTGGCCATTAGGCAGGGAACGTTTTAACTCTCAAAAGCATTTGGGGTATTGTTCTGATACCATAATTGTTCAATCATGACGTTCTACCTCACACCCTCCTCAAAACTGGCGGCCCCCTGCAGCGTTCAGTGTTTCCAAACAGCTTCTCGTGGGCCCTTCACAGAAAAGTTTGAGAATGGATTCGACTCCGCGCAGTTTGTAAGCGGCTTCAGCTGGGCCCTGGCCAGGAAAGAATGCTCTCTCGGAACACAGCTCATTGTAGAAATGCAGCTTGACATCAATGAAAATAATCACTATTTGAAGTATTTCTTATAATTATAGGTCATCTCTCGGCAGGGCTTTGCGGTTAGCAAAGTTGTGATTTGGCCTCTGTCATGCTGGTGCGGGCGAGAGGGAGGCCCCAGTGCCTGTCAGAGTCCTGGCGGGCATCCTGAATGCCATCAGCTTATGCACAACTTCAGAGAAGAAAACATTTTGGAAATGATGAGAAAACTGTGAAGGAGTTGCAACCGTAAACAGCAAATGTGCTAAAGAGTGGGGACTTATGCAGAGTGAAAAGAGGGCAGGTGGAGCTCGTTCTCAGTTTTTTTTAATGTGAAGAAAACATTGGGCTGACTTCATTCTGGTTCTGCAGAGCTAAAATGTGCCTTACTGATTGCTCTTGTTGTTTTATTTAACACAAGCACCCGGGGCAGTGTGAGGATGGGGGCTTGAAGAGCCACAGGATTCTGAGATAAAAGGTGAACAGCTGTGGTTCTTGTCAAACGCAAAGCCTTAATCATCGTTGAATCACGCCCCCATATTGGACATTCCGGTTAGTTTAGGTGTCTTTACTGTGATGAATAACAGTAGAATGAGAACCTCTGTGCACCTAACTTACTCTTTTGCGTTCTTTCCCTTAGCTACTTTCCTAAGAATGGCATTAATGGTTAAAGAACGTGAACATTTTAATGTGTGTTTTGAAATAGTGCCCAAAATTTCTCTGATTGAATCAATTTGCACCACCACTAGCAAGACATGAATGTACCAGTTTTAGTGTAATCTTGCCAATATTAGGTATTATAGCTGCCCCCCACCCCAGTTTGTTAATTTAAATAACTGTGTACTTGAGTTTAGTTCTTCTAACTCCACACTGGGTAACGTGCCGCCCTCGACCCAGCAGTTCTATCTCTTAACCTTGGGAGTGCCTTGAAATACCATTAAGATGGCAAAGATAAATGGGAAAGAAAGGTAATCCTAAAACAGGGCATATCAAGCCACACTGGGGAAGGCTTTGGAAGACATCTGTGGCAGAAGGTAGTGTCTAAGACCTTACGCTCTGGAATCAGTGAGGCCTGGCTTGGATTCCATTCCTTCTACTACTTCCTGGCTGTTTGGCCTTGGGCAATGAAACGAACCTCTTAAAACTCAGTTTCCTTGAGATATCACCTAATAGCCATTCAG